AAAGGAAAGAAGCACAGATTCACAGTACAACATGGATGAACCTTAAAAACATTATGCTGTGGGAAAGAAACCAGTCACAAAAGATGGTATTGTCTTTTTTTTTTTTTGGCCTCTACACGTGGCCTGTGAGATCTTAGTTCCCCAACCAAGGATTGAACGCGCGCCCTCGGCAGTGCAAGCGTGGAGTCCTAACCACTAGACCACCAGGGAATTCCGAAAGATGGTGTATTATATGATTCCATGATATTAAAGTCCAGAACAGGGAAATCTATAGAGACAGAAAGTGGTGGTTGTCTACGGCTGGGGTGGGCGGGGGGTGACAGTTAAAGGGTACAGCGTTTCTTTTTGAGGTGATGCAAATGTTCTAAAACTGACTGTAGCGATAGTTGTACACATCTGTGGATACATTAAAAACCACTGGATGGTACACTTTGAAATAGTGAATTTATGGTATGTGCATCTCAATAAACTTGTTTTTTAAAAGGATAAGGGGTAGGGAGTAGGGAGCTGGGCTACTGAAATGCTACTTCCTTTCAGGTAATGATGACGAAGAACCAACATGCAAAGTGTGCGTTCTCTGCCGACATCCCCGCGGCGAGGGAAGAGCACCCTCCCAGATCCACTTCATACAACCAAACAGCTGACGGGACCCGAGAGGTGAGGGGGGCGGGGCATCGTCCTGCACGGGCCCAGGAGGGCCCGGCCGGACCGCTCAGAGGCTGGCCTGTCACGGCTGAGCAAGGAACGCTCAGGACCACAGGGGCCCTGGAGTGAGGAGGGGGCACTGCTGAGCCTCCAATGGCATGAGTCCCTCTCCATCTCAGAAAGCTGCCAGGTTCCTATGACCACAGTGTCCCCACTGCTCGGAGCTCATCCTGCACTGGTAATTCCCCCTCCTAAGCAGGGCCTCTCGTTCCAGTTAAATCTGATCTTATCGCTCCCACCCTGAGCCTTCAGGATAAAGTCCAAGCCCCACAGCCTGGTGTGAAAAGCACTCTCTCCACTCTTATGGTCCTGCAGGTCCCCACATCCGAAGGGAGGTCCACAGGCACCCAAAAGGCGGCGCTGTCTGCCTCGTGAGCCCTCCCCGCCCCCGCCCAGCTACCCACTGGAGCCACTTTCTCCCTCCCCTGACCCGCATGGGCGCCCTGCACCAGCCCCGCACCCACGACGCTCTTCCACTTCACAGACACGTAGACGTGTCTCCTACGTACCAGGTACTGTGTGTGGCAAAGGGGACACCCGGGGAGCTTGAAGCAGACGTGATCCCTGCTCCTGCGGAGCTATAACCCCTAAATGGCGAAACTGGCAGAAGCAACCAGTAGAGAATGACAAACTTCCAAACGGAGGGAAGGAAAGGTGCAAAGTTTTAAGGGCCTGGGACAGAGAATGTGTCCTAAGTCAGGTAATCAGAGAGACATCCCTGAGGAAGGGACACCTGAGCTGAGAGCTGGGGGTGGGGACGAATTCCAATTAAGGGAACGTCCTGTGCAAAGGCACTGAGGTGGAAAAGAGCTCGGAGCTTGAGCATCTGCTGCAGGAGGGCCACAGCAAGGCAAGGAAGGGGCGGGTGGGACAAGATGAGGCTGGGGAGCGGGGGAGGGAGGCCGCGGCCAGACTGCAGGCCTCACGGGCCACTTCAGAGGCTACAGTCTTCACTATCATCGCAATGAAAAGGTGAGAAAGTTTTTAGTCAGGATGAGCGGGGATCAGGTCTGCGCGTCTCCTAGTGCATCACCCTGGGGTCTGCGAGTGCAGTTCCTGGTTTCCCGAGGCCTCCCCTCCGGGCTGGGGGCTCCTGTGGATGGTGGTCAGCAAGCAGTGTGCCACTTCAGAGGAAGCTGTCCCTGTGGTCACACAGGGGGTCCAGGGGCCATTTGGGGGACACTTAACATCCTTCCAGCTAATGAAGATGGGGAGAAGAGGTGACAGTTTAGATAGACTCAAACCTCCTCCTTCCGAGTTCATTCAGGGAAACCCCAGGAAGATCCATCTAGACGGCACCACCTGACTCATGGAATACAGTCACCATAACACTTCGAACAATTCTGGGGCAGCAGCAGAAGGGCCACCCTCCTCAGCCCCCGGGCGACACCTGACAGCTGGCCCTGGATGCCACAGTGAGGAGGTTCTGGTCGCTCCCCTGAAGAAGCAGCTCTAGAGGCCACGAAACCCTCCCACCACCCCAGGGGACCTCTGTCCAGGTCTGTTCCCTGATAACTGAATCTCGGGCAGAGCCTCGGCGGCACCAGGCTGTCGGCTCCACGAGAACCTTGGCGCAGAAAAACAACTGAATCATCCTGATCATTCTCCACGCCAAGTCCTCTCGAGGCCAATATTCCTTTTGGTGGGGGGGCGGGGGGAGGTGGCAGCTTGGGAGTTGATTTCTATGGCAACCAGCTTTAGTGATCTGCATAAGCTCCAGACACACAACCCCCAACCTGTCCACAAGGGCAGCCAGAAAAAAAGCATAACCTCTCAGCTCTGAGAATTCCTGTCCATCCCTGGGTCCTGGAGGTTTAATGGAAGCATCCCATGGGCAGAATGCTCTAGGGCTGTCAGAAACATCTCAGAAACTCATCTATCTTGACCCACACAGCCCCAAGCCACTTCCCCAGGGACCCGAGTATCGCCTTTGGTGAAGGCCCTTCGAGCTGAGACCCTTCTGGGGCAAACCACCTTTCTCTGTTTTCTTACAACAAAATGCAGAAAGGCCAGCTTTGCAAACCCAAGCCCGGGGACCTGCTTCCCAGTCTCTGAAATCTGAACGTCCTTCTGCCTCTCCTGACCCTGGGCCCCTCCCCGCACCTAAGCCCGTGCCTCCCTGTTCATGTCCCGAGAATAAATATTAAAACAGGAATCTGAAAACAACGGCACGGTCAAGGTCAAGTGTCAGTCTATGGCCTGGCTCTGAACTTGAATCTCGTATCTCGCGCAGGGTGGGAAGACCAGGTCAGCACCGACAGCCCGGGGCCCCGTGGCGGGAGGATGGCCTGCGTGCTGCTGAGCAGGCCTCACCTGGCACCTCTCAGTCCCTCTCTCCACTGGCCCCTGCCCCTCTCCTCTCTTTTCAGGGCCTGTGCAAAGTGCAGCCTGTCACCCTTCTCCCCAAAGGATCGTGCTCTTCTCAAAAGAGGAAACATCCCGGCCTTAGCAGATATCCGCTTCATGCTCAAGCACAGACGGCAGTGAAAATTTATCCCGGAGATACTGAGGCTGGAAGGTTATCCTGAGGTCACCTCAGGCATCTGAGGGCCGGCTGCTGTGTGTGCCCTGGGTGGGACAGACTCCTGGGACCCAGCCGAGACCTCCCTGGGAAACGCAGCCGGTGGCTGAAACCCTTGAAGCTGCACGTCCCCACGTGCCGCCTGACATGCTCTCCAACCTTCTCTGCACAAGAACAGGAACACAGGGGACCAAGTTCCCCTTTAGTGCTCAGCCACCACCTGCCCTGCGCCGTGGGCTGTGGGTGTGCTTGCGGGGAGCAGGGGATGGGAGGCCCCCCAGGGTTGGTTGCTCCCTAACTCCCAGTCCTTTATCTAAGAAAGTAATGACACAGGCAGTAGCGGTGGGAGCAGCTGTAAGAACTCAGCCAACATTAGACACTTCTACATACTGAAAGACATCTACTTCTCACAGCCACCTGCCCACCTTAAGAAGTAGGACCTAGCAGCAACCCCATTTTACAGAAGAGGAAACTGAGGCTCGAGGGGGTCATGTGATCACACTGGTATCGACCACCAACTAAGCACTGGCTGGGGCCTGAGCACCGGGTGAAGCATTTCATACGCATCGTGTTGTTTACTCTTCCCAACACGGTATGAGGTTTTCCTGGTACTAACACCATTTTACAAATAAGAAAACTGAGGCTTGGCGAGCTCACAGAGGAGCCCAAACACGCCTTTCCCCACGGCCCCCCAGCCCCATGGAAGCGGAAGAGACTTCAGGTTGCTGGCCAGGCAAAGGCCCTGCAGGGCACCACGTGTGGACAGCGCACCTCCCCACTTGTGTGGGGGAGTGGGACAGGACACCAGCAGGGCCACAAACGGGCCACCAGGGCTCATGGGAAGCGGCAATCTGCGAGAGTTGGTCAAGAAGGGGGCGAGAGCCACAGGGAAGTGAGGGAGGCTGAGGCCACCGACCCTGGACACATGGGGGAAGAAAATGCTGTCAGCAGGAGGGCTGCTATGTGGTGATGAGAGTCCCCTTTGTCCTGATAAAGAAAGACAGGACGTCAACCCTCCGGTTATCACACACTGCAAAGCGCTGGCTCGAGCATCCCTCCCACAGGGAGGCCCTCTCTCTCGGCTGCATTTTCACTGATAACATGACCTTGTTTTTCATGACCCCGAGCCGCTTTCCTGAGGAATGAATCATGCTCTTGTCCACAACACAGAAAACACAGGGCAAGTCAGCGGCGGCAATGGCAGCACCCCCCAAGGTGGCGGGCGGGTTACCGTGGGGTCAGGACCCAGGCTACTGGGGAAATGGGGAAGGGAGAAGGGAAAAGCCAAGAAGACTTGGTCCCAGCTCAGAGATGGGCACTCAGGGTCAAAGCCGTGAGCTCGGAGAGGGGTTCTCCACCAAGGCAGGACTCAGGGGCCAAGGGCAGCCGCTCCAGTTCAAAGGCCCTTGGGGGTCCCTTTCTTCAGGGGTGGCAAGAGGGTTCCGCCCCTGTGCCAACTCAATGCCTGTGGCTGTGGCTGTGTGTCGCTGAGGACGTAAAGGCACGTGCGGACTCTGCAGTGCTCAGATCGGTAAATCAGGTCTCTAAGCGTAGAGGGCAGATCGGGTTCCAACCATGCCCTGGTTCAATCCCGTCTCGCCTCCGACGAGACGGAGGCCCCGGCAGGGAAGTGCCCGACCACAAGCCCATGTCTTCTTGGCAGTGGCAGAGCCGTGTGTACAAGCCGTGTGTACACAGTACACGGCAAGGCAGCTCCACGGCTTTAGAAATGCACAGAACCACTCCCGGCCTTCCGCCTCACCCCTCCACGCACCTGGAACCTGTGCACCAGCTCCAGGGACTGGCTGTCGTTCTGGTCGGCTTCGAGGATGACATCGGTCAGTTTGTGGATGATGACGTCCAGGGGGCCCTGCTCCTCGATTGGCCGGCTAAGGTTCAACTACAAGCGGGAGACACAGAGAAAAAGAACAACTTCAGCTCCTGAGCCCGCTGCCCCGTCTATCCCGTCTCCTCTGCATGTCCCCGTGGCACGGAGAGGGGGCAGGAGGAGGGCTGGCACTCGTGGGACAGGACGGGACGAATGGGATGAACTCGCTGAGGACCTGGAGCCCTTCCGGGGCAGGCCCTGTGTTTACACTTCTGTCCCCGAGCCCCAAGCAGCCCGGGACACAGAAAATACACACGTGGAATCAGGGTGACGAAGTTTCTGTGGATCAAGGGAGAGTCACTGTGAAAGCATTTACTGGCCACACTGCAGCTGCCCTACCACCCAGGTTTTTCAGGTGGGGACACCAGGGTTCAGGGAGGTCAAGTCCAATGACTGAAGTCACACGGCCAGACCTGAACTGAGATGCAAGTGGACACTCTCTCCACAAAACTATACACCGTCTCGGCAAAGCTGTGATCTGCGTGAACCTAAGAGCTGCTGCTTTGAGAGACCAGAAGCGGGCACTTCACACTGAGATCAGGGCCTACGATGACAAAGTGAGGGGGCACCGGGCTGCCTGGGGTCCCTGAGGCACGGCTCCACTGGGGGGGGGGGGGGGGGTTTATTTTTTCAAGAGCGTGGGGTTAGGAAGATCGGGCCCCGGGGGGAGCCAGAGCTGCTGGCTGACAGACAGTCGACATCACCTGACCCCCAAGACAGGAGCACCTGCCAACAGCCGGGGCCGCCTGACACCGAGCTTCCTGACTGGCCAGATGTCTGCTGCCCGGCACGCGGCCGCCACCAGCTGCGTGGCCCGCTCCCTTGGAGGGGACGGCGCCAGCCCGGCACCTGGCTGACCCCCTGGGTGGCCTCAGCAGAGGCCGGAGACGGCCACCAGCCCCATCCCTGCCCTCAGCCCCACCCCCAGGGGGGCCTCCCTCTGGGATTCCCAGCTGTTTGTTTCAAAGTCGTTCATAAAGAAATCATGGTGACAGCTCTAGGCAGACACTGTGCTAAAAACGTATGTCTGTTCGTTTCTTTTCATTTTCAAACCACACAGTGAGAAGGAATCCCACAGACACAGACTTCTGAGACCTGCCTGGGACCTCACGGTGAGAGGGCAGAGGCAGAGCTGAAGCCGGGCCTGTCCCATGCCCCATGCCTGCCCTGTGCCACGGGACGCTGTCCTCTACAGCCACGACCACCCAGCTGCCTTGTCCTCTGGCTGCTGGCCGAGTCCGGCCATTTGGAGGTACCAGCAGAAGATGGGAGAGGAGCCTGGGTGTTTGCTCCCACCGTCCCCACTGCGCAGGGCAGCCCCTCTCCCAAGACCACCACTGTCCCTAAGCTCTTCCTTCCCCTAGTCCCCTGAGGCCTGGGGTGGTGACAGCCCGCCATTCTCGGGGTGCCTCACCACCTCCCGCTGGCTCCTTTGACCCTGCCCACACCTTGCCATCCTCCCTCATTTAAACTCTTTTTCCGTTAAGGCTTCGGAATGTGCCAGCTCTTTTCTGCTGATATCCTTAACTCCTCTTTTTTATTGTCTGCCAGGAAAGATGTTAAGGGATTTTACCTATTTGAAAAAAAAAAAAAATCCCATGGACTTCACCAAAAGAAAATACTGAAGGACACCGATCCTTCCCCGTGGTGACTAGCCTGTGTACAAAACAGCAAAAATGAGACCAGCTGAGAAGGCTGCCCATCTTCTGGGACTCCTGGACGGGGAAGGGAAACGGCATTTGTCCTCACAGCACAGCCAGGAGCTGGGGGTGATGGTCCCCCTTCACAGACCAGGACACCTAGAGCCCAGGAGGAAAAATGACCGGGCAAGGTCTCGCGGGTGGGGGGTGGCCCGGCTGGGGCCTGGACACAAAGTGACACCAATGGGCTCAGCCCGCAGCCAAGCTGCTAGGTGTCCTGGGGCCTGTGCAAAAGCCTAGCGGCATCCCTGGGCCTCAGTTTCCCCTAGGATAAAAAACAGGAAACTCCAAGGACCTTTCCGGTTCTGTCCGCGGATTCATTATTACATTCCCATCCAACTCCACTTCCCAGAATAAAACAGAATTGGAAGGAAGGCAGAGCAGCCGGTGGGAAGTGGGAACACGGGCAAAGGACAGCTCATTCTCAGAGGTGCCACAGACACAAGCCCATTTGTGTTGTAACTGCGGCTCCACTGTGACAGGCACCAAAACAAGAAGCCAATATTTTCAGATCAAGACAGCCACGGATAGAAGAGAACTGGGTCACATGGTGATGCTGGGCAGGGCGCCCCGGGCCTCAGAAACCCCATCCCAGAGAGAACATTTCCCATGCAGCAAGCGGGGACAGAGTCAGCCCCTGAGAGGAACCTGGGGCCCCAGTGCGTTTGGGGAAGGAGGTGGGCAGGAAATGCCCTCAGCTCATGCTCGCCTGGCATCACCCAAGGCCTGTAGACCTGACAACCGTGGGCTGTTTGGAAAATAAGCTCCCCACGTTCCCGGCCGCCCCACTGAAGGTAAACAGTTGAGTTTTGGAAGCCGGCCACCTTCCTTTGTGTATTTTCCAAGCATTTTTGTGCCAGTGAAACCCTTTCACGAGAACAGCAATCAGGACACACGTCAGGCCTGGATGGTCTCCGCTCAGCATCGCTGCAGCATCCTTGCTGGGGCACAAGCAGTGCTGTCAGTGGCTCTAAAAGGCCCTCTAGGGCTTCCCTGGTGGCGCAGTGGTTCACAGTCCACCTGCCGATGCAGGGGATGCGGGTTCGTGCCCCGGTCCGGGAAGATCCCACAGGCCACGGAGCGGCTGGGCCCGTGAGCCATGGCCGCTGAGCCTGCGCGTCCGGAGCCTGTGCTCCGCAATGGGAGAAGCCACAACAGTGAGAGGCCCACGTACCGCAAAAATAAATGAATGAATGAATGAATGAATGAATGGCCCTCCAGCACCACCTTTCCTCAAGGGACCAGACAAGCCTTGGTCATCCTGAGGGGTTCTACCCCAAGGAGCCGGCAGTCTCTCCCCACTGGCTGGGAAGGGGGAGAAGGCCCTCTGGGGCTGCATCCTCAGGAGTGGTACTCAGCAGGCTCTGGGCGCACGTGGGAAAGAACCCAGGACCCTGCAGAGGAGGGCACCCTCAGAGGGGGGATGACACAGGAGGGACCCTCAGGAGGGATAGGCAGTTGCCACAGAGGAGGGGACACTGCAGAGAAGGGGGACCGCAGAAGACAGGACCCTCAGGAGGGAGATACTGCAGAAGAGGGGACCCTCAGAGAGGGAGGGTGTCAGAGACGAGGGACCCTCAGGTGGAGGATGCTGCACAGAAGGGAACCCTGGGACCAGGGGAGGCACCTCAGAGGCTTCGTCTCCCAGATGCAGTGGGGATGGGGGCTCGGGTGGAAGTGAACTCACTTCAGTTGTGCCATTTTGTTTTTCTGACCACACTCTGTTCGCAGAAAAGGGAACTTTCCCAGGGACCTGTTCTCTTCCTCAGAAAGGGTCCCTCTCAGCCAGTCACAAGGTGTCCCGATGAAAGGGCCACCTGCCGTGGCCAGAGGAGGTCTGCAGGCGCCACGTTTCCAATTCACACCATCCTGTGAGGCCAACGCTGGATGCTGTCCTGTGAGCACTCAGAACTCGGAGGGAACAAGGGCCCCCTGTTTCCTCAGCGAAGAAGGCAGTGAGGCGGACTAGGGTGGGGGGAGGGCGGGGAGGAGATGGGACAAAGGCCTGCGGACCCCGGTGGCCTAACAGTCACCTCTGACCTCCGAAACAAGCAACCCCATCATGCCCAGGCCCGGACCCAAGGTGAGCTGGGCTCCGCCTACCCCCGCCTTCCCCACCACCTGGTCGAGGAAGACAGGATGAGATAATGGGCACAGCAGACGCCTGGAAACCCCTCCCGGCTCAGAGGCTTCTGGGCTGGAGCAGGTCACTTAATTGCTCTGTGCCTCGGTTTCCCTATTCAGAAAACGAGGATGTCGTAACTACACCTCCCAGGGCTGGATGAGAACTTTCCGTTTAGAGATGTGGCACATGAGCCCTCCAGACAAGTTCCTGCTTCTGCTTGGTCGCTTGTTAATCGACAAGTATCTTCTGGACCCCACCTGTGCACCAGGCACAGACGACGACCCCTGCCCCCTCAACTCAGGGCCTCAGGCGGCCGTAGGAGCATCTCTGTTCACTTTGGATGCAGCCCCAGCTGCCCCAGACCTTGCACAGGGCGGTGCTCTGCTCCTCTGCCAGAGCGAGCCCTCTGCCTGGGATGTCCCCCACCGCGCATCCCCCTGTCCACATGTGAGCTCTTACTCATCGTCCAAGTCCCAGCTCAGAAGTTCAATCCTTTTCCAGACTTCTGAACTCACCCCTCCCCAAACAGGAAGAATTAATGGCTCCCTCGTCTCACCCGTGTCCCCAGGACCCTCTTGCACATCCCTCCAGGATTGCACTGTAACTTCCAAGTATAAAGGCATTTCTTTAACCCTCTGTCTCCTCCACAAGACCGTGAGATCCCCAAAGACCAGGGCTGGGGCTTGGCATCCCTAGGACCTAGAACCGGGGCTCCAGGCAAGAGCTCGGTAAACGTTTGCTAAATGCGCTGGCAGCTTTAAAGAACAGAGTGAACAACGCAGACCAAGGAGGAGGGACCTTCCGTAGAGCAGGGTGACTCTTTTCTGCTAAGAGGGTTGAAATAGCCTCCCAGAGGAGGAGGTGTCCAGATCAAGCCATGAAGGGGAGAAGGAAGAATGGGACCTCCAGGGATGGGCAGCGGAAGGGAGGTGTAATCCAGGTAGAGGGGGCAGCTGCAAAGATGCAGGACTCACCTACATTAAATCCTCTCCTGTATCTATCAATTCCAAATGCCTCAGGTGTCCTAAGCTACCACCTCAGCCGAAAGAACTTTTCCTACAGCACTGGCCCCTGAATGGCACCTTGGGCAAGGGGCAGGTAGGGTGAGGGGTGGCCCATAACCGCCCCTCTCTCATGCCTGATCTGCAGGCTGGAAGCCGAGGACTCAGCGGAAGACTCCAATGCCT